CAGCATAGTGGGACCCTTTTTTAGGGCCTACACTTGAAGTGCTAGCACAGATGTGGTGGAATTCTGTTACACTACACTAAATTTTAGCGGAAATTCCACTAAGTTATGCCACACCAACACAATGGTTAGTGTAACTGGCCCACCCTTGTTTGAATGTCATATCAGATGGATCTGATAATCTATGATCAAAAGGATTCCTCTTTTCCATGGACGTACATACCTCATGGAGGGGAATCTCCTCAGTCATGGAGGTATTGTTTCAAGGCTGAGATGATTCCACTTGGTCTCTTGGCCATGGAGCTGTATATTAATGAACAAGGAGAAGCTTCTCAGCCTTGAAGTGGTACCTCCATGGAGGATTCCTCTCAGCCATGGAGGTACAGACTATTATAAGCTTATAAAAACAAGCTCCTCAATTTGTTGGGCCTGGTATGACCTGGGAGGGTTATGTCAATTTTTTGGCTGGATCACCTGAGGTGAGGCACTTTGGTGGGTAGTTTGTGCCATTCCATTTTCATCATCTTCACTAAGGGAAAGCACAATGCACTTTTTACCATGAGAATCACCTCAAATTGAAATATCTTTTGGTCTAGTCCCATGAGCAAATTCACATCCATTCTTAGTGTACAATCCTTCTAACATTATAAATTTGAGGTTTTGATGCCTGCACTATTGAAATCCATATTTCCACTTCCAGTATTGCTGTGACAGTGCATGGTACAAAATGCCAAAGAAGCAATCTCTTTCTAAGATCTCTTGGATTTTCCAGATCATCAGCTCAATGGAAAAGTTGATCCCATTGTTTTGAATCCAGGATGCCATACTACTTCTTCCTTATGGAAATTTCCCTCCAGATAGCTGGGGTTTCCTTCAAGAATTTTCAAAGTGGGAGTGGCAGCAATGGCTCAAAAAGTACCAAATCCCCAAAGTGCTCCCGGTGTGAGAACTCCTTTGGGATGGATGGCAGTCCTGCAAGGGGGAAATAACAAATATGATATTGTGCTTGTTTGATATATACTAGGGTTTAGGGGCGGCTGCGCCGCCCTGCTACACTTAAGGAGGTTTAACATTAGTTTCCTCATACATTCAATTGGGTCCGCCACCATTTTTGTCATTTTTACTGAAACATAGACATGCAATCGTCTCTCTGCATTCACCCTAGGCTCGTTGATTTCAATTTTCAGTCAACCCCTTTGCGACATGAGATCTTCATCCCATCCTGAAATGATGCATGCATCAAATTTGAAAACTCATATCCCTTACAATTTCTTAGACTCAGACTTTCAGAGTTGATATCAACAATTCCAACCTGATCTCCTCGCGACCTTCTCCCCATATCGCTACTCAACTCTCTTCAAACTCGATTAATCAAATAATTCTTTATTTACAACATTAGTAATTTCTTTCGTTGTACCAAGCTGAACCACAAGCAAGTTAGCGGGATGAGTCACTCTTGATAAACCTACATAAAGTTGGCCGTGAGCAAAAACCTGAGATTTCAACATGAGTACGACTTCCTCTAATGTTTGTCCTTGGCTCTTGTTAATTGTCATAGCGAAGCAAGCCACTACAGGAAATTGGTGCCTGTAGAAAGAAACTTTTGCCTTCGACTCTCCTTCGTATCTCAGTAAGATTTTCGGCAATAGTACATCGTTGCCTTTTCTCGGCCCGGTCAAGAACTTCGCTCCAATAGTTCGGTCCGTCAATCTTGTGACCATCAACCGCGTCCCGTTACAAAGACCCTGTGCGATATTCAGGTTTCTCAATAACATTATGGGCATTCCAATGCACAAGTGAAGTTGATGCTCAGGAAAGCCAGGAAATTCTAAATTATTGAGACTTTCTTCTGGAAGTGTGTCGACCGCATCTTCATCGGGTCTGTCCACTGATACTGAAATTGTTATTGGCTGGCCCATCAGATGGAGGACGAATCTATTAATTTCCCATGAATCAGCGTTCAAAGGCGTCAATATGCAGCGATTGCACAGGTAGTTGATGCGATTGTTTTCACTTCCTCCCGACTGAGCCCCAATGTCGTCATATATTCTCTTAACGCCCTCACTGATAAGTTTGACGGGTGATAATGTCTCTTTCACCTCAACGCACTTCAAATGAATCCTCGACGCAAAATCATCTTGAAATCTTCCTTCACCGATGTCTAACAACTCACTCCCAAACCTCCTCATTTCCACTTCATTATCCTCCGCCCGTTCTCTTCATAAGCCTCATGTTTCAGAGA